GGGCAATGAAATCGGGAGTCTCCCGCGAAAATCGGGAGGGTTGACAAGTATGGCCTATAGAGTCCTATTGTGAACCCTGAAATGTTGAGTAGCCATACGTTTTAGGTGAGCAATGTACTTGTAAAGATTGGGCAACTTCCACAGTTAGCGAAAGTATCGTAAATTGGCATAAATTAGCTTAGTCACCTACGTAAATGGACAATATTCAAGTGGTTTTAGGGGTCATTGATTATGCTGAATCCACTTCTGACATATTCAGGATCCAAATAGGCAGATGAACGAGAACGATGACCTATTCCAACTCCTGGTGGGCCAATTTGATTACATTTCTGTCGATTTAAAGTTATAAGCAACAAAAGCAAATCCACCATCACCAAATATAAGGATACTTACAGTATCTGTGTTTTCGGCATGCTCTTTTTTATTGAATGCCAAGCAAAAGTACTAAGTAAACATCCACATATGCCATTTGTTCAAGCCGTGATCTGATTGGACGCTGTTACGTCCCCCAGCTCGTTTAGGGTAAAAGGGAAGCAACACGAAACCAGATGTTCTTGGTAAGAGGTTGATTTTAATAATAAACTCAAATAAAAATGATATAAACAAAAGTATAGGCTCTTTGAACAAGGAGCTATCTATTTATGATATAAGTAAACAACAGGAGGCCACAGATTATCACCAGCACAGAACAATACGGGCAATAAGGCAGAAATAATGAGGCGTCTAGCACAAATTCAACGCCGTCATGAGTCTCAGAATAGACACAAACAATTTGGAGAGTAGAGTAGCGAGGCATCCCACCTCTTCCGGTGGGAGGCACTAAACAACGTCACGCGGTAACCATAGTACCTAAAGGCAGTCACACACACACACACATATATATATACATACACACACAGAATGCTCACAGGTCGGTTAATGCAGAAGGCAAGGCGACAGCCGTCACATCCATGCATTGTGTCTTGATATTTGTCTGTTGTTACACATGGAGCTGCTGTGAAGCAAGGAGCATTTCAGACCTGATCTGACCAATAAAGTATTATCGTATCGTACGTTACCTTCATGCAGAGCACGGTCTTGGTGTGGCCCTCCAGAGTTCTCAGCAGGAGGCCGCTCTTAGCGTCCCTCACGCTGATGGTGTTGTCGTAGGATCCGACCAATAGGATCCTCCTCGCTCCTTCCTGAGAGGAGGCCATGCAGCTCACCCCCCGAGGACCGTGGCACTCAAACACATCCATCTGCTTATTGGTCTGAACAAACAACCAGATGAGTTAGTTAGTTAGTTAGTTAGTTAGGGGCTGGGTCATGTTTTAACCAAAGCTAGCTAAATGCATTTTCTGACACGGTTCATATGAAGTCTTTTTACTTAAGTTACTGCTTGGTCTTACAATTATTTTCAAAGTATAACAACGTGACTACAGAATAACATTTCAGTCACAGTTTCCGATGTTTATCGCCACCACTTCAAAATAAGTCATGACGTTTTTTATATTGCACCTGTCTCTCACCTTGAGGTTAAAGGTCACCACGGTGCCGTTTGCCAGACCGGCGTACAGCGTTTTCCATCGACTGTGGAGGCAGAGGACTCGGTCTGAGAGAGGGAACTGCTGCTCCAACTCCCGCGTCTGAGGACCAGGGAAAGGGAATTCACTTAAAACAATAAGAGGAACGATGTGCTTTAAGGTGAGTACAGTACAACATATGGTGCCCATAATAAAAGATCTTTAATTTCCTATTCTCTCTAACACTAAGAAATCTGAACATGTGTGACTTTGGAGCTCACAGGTGAGTTTCTTCTTCTCGACTATCATTCATTCATATTTCACCTACACATACCTTCATCTTTGTAGTTCACTCAACCAACCATATCAATCAGAGAACATGTTGTTGATTATTGGAGCACGAGGGACAAAGTTACGTGTCGTTCACCTTCAGGTTGTAGCAGCAGATGGTCTGGTCACTGGACCCGGAGTAGAGGCGATGGTGGAGGCTCGGAGCTGCAGAGACCAGCAGGCAGCTCACCTTGGAGCTGTGACCCTCAAACACTCCCACACACTTACGACTCTGCAAACACAGGGAGAACCAGAAATTAGACATGTTTTAAAATATAAAAAGTTTCTCTAAAACAAAATACTTATTTGGGATGTTGAGTGTAGCTGCGAGGAAAGCATCCACAAAGAAATGGCTCAAACCAAACAGCCCATCTATAGATGATTGGTACGATATCATTTATGAAATCTTTGTAATGGAAAGAGTAACCTTCTCTTTGAGGCTCCAGGAACTTCAATCTGAGAACATTTGGGAGAAATGGAAAGTGTACATTCCCCCGAAACGCCCTTCTTTTGTTTGAATCTTTTATTTAATGATCTGCTGTCAATGTTTTATATATAATGGACCACTCTATAAAACTATTTAACTACATACGTACACTGAAGCTGAAATGTGATCCAAAACAAACTTAAGCATCTAAAGGGGACCTATCAAGCAAAATGCACTTTTTGATGCCTTTATACATAAAGATGTGTCCCCGGTGTGTCGGGGAACTCACGCAGCGTCAGGAAATAAAACCCTCTCTCTTTTCCTCCGTACCCAAATCTCTAAAAACGGGGGAACAACGGAGCTGATCCAGATTTGCGTCCGATATGACGTAATATCTGAAATGTGGACCCACGGCCCTCATCAGAAACAATGCCCGACTGTTTTGGACGTAATATGGTCGGTGTTTACATTAGCATCGCTAACACTCAGAGCTAACCTGTACTGGAGAGCATGTGTGTGAAGAAGCAGGAAGTAAAAAGGAACTCACCTTGTGGTATAACCGGCAAGAGAGAAAGCCTTTGAGCTCCATACTGTTTCAGAGATAATCCTTGATAATCCATGATATGGAGTTTCATCACGGCAGTATTTAGTTTAGACAGTAGCTGCCGGGTCCCGCATGAGCTCAGACCCCTCCTTTTTATTTTTGTATCATTTTTATTTATTTTTTTTGAACGCTTTATCCCAAAATCAGCACTTTTGAAACAGGAAGTGAAATAGAGGGATATGAGGCATGGCTAGAATGGGTGATCTGTTTGGTATTTTGAGCAAAACGCTTCATGTTTTTTATATATCTGAGACCTATGCTATTGCCTAAAAATAGCATGATAGGTGACCTTTAAGATAAATAAATAAAATGTTTCTCTTATGGTTTCTAATTTAACTTTGAATGTCTGTTCTCATATTTTAAGAAGCAACACTTTAAAAAAGACGAAACACAATGTTGTGAGTTTTGGTAAATTATTACCACTCTCTTTTAATAATGAATGTTGACTTTGTGTCGTTTAATAATCACTGAGATTCTACTAACAGTACAAAACTAATTA